TTTTGAGATGGGGTCTCGCTCTGTCACCCAGGCTGGAGTGCGGTGGTGTGATCTCAGCTCACTGCAACCTCTGCCTCCCAGGTTCAAGCAAGTCTCCTGCCTCAGCCACCCAAGTAGCTGGGATTACAGGTGTGCACCACCATATCTGGCTAATTTTTTCTATTTTTAGTAGAGACGGGGTTTCACCATGTTAGTCAGGCTGGTTTCGAACTCCAGACCTCAGGTGATCCACCCACATCAGCCTCCCAAAGTGCTGGGATTAAAGGCATGAGCCACTGCACCTAGCCTTACCAATTTCTAATAAAAGGTTATTTATTTCATTTGTAACTTTGTACATTATTCCACTCAGTTAGGATAGAAAGACTATAGCATAAACCCTATAACCTCAGGGGCCTGGGATAACATTGAGGCTGGATTGGAAAGTCCACAGGTAGGCTTAGGGCTTTTCCTGACACGGGGACACCAGTTAGAGAATCCTTACAGAAGTTGACTGCATTCTGAAGTCCTCCCTGAAAGTTCTCTAGCTTTGTTAAAAAGTCGGTGGTACCCCTTATACCTCATTTGTCCTTTTCCAAGTAAGTCGAATTCAAGATATGCAGTTGTGCCCACTTTTCCATGGACCTCATGGCCTTTCCAAATACGCTCAAAGTCACAAGATGTTTTGAAGGTAGAAAATGGCCTAAGGATGGTCCAATGGTCACACAAAGCAAATTTAACACTCAGGGGTTTGGGCTAGGAACAAGTCATGCAGTCTTAAGGTAATGCTTATGTATGCTGTAACCCCAGTGACCACTAGGTAATACCCCATGCCTAGGTGGACTTACACAGACTTGACTTTGCTTTCAGTAGGTGGCACTAGTCCATTACATAGCATTTTGGATGTCAACAGGATTAAACTATGCCAAAGCATATTTCACCTCCATAAAAAAGCTACTTGCAAGGCCGCATTCTGGATGTTTCTAATAAACAAGTATAATGTGATTATCTCCATAAAACAAATCTGTGACTAAATCTTCCAGAATTTTATGACTGGATTTTTCAGTTTCTAACTCGGTCTTCAGGGTTGGTTTAACACAAATGAAAGCCTGAGTATATGTATGGACAATGACCAGATCACATATGGTGAAATATGAAAAAAGACAGAAAAGAGTCTTAGTAAAAACCACTGGTTTGGATTTGATTTGTGTGTGTGTGTGTGTGTGTGTGTGTGTGTGTGTGTGTGTGTTCTATGTCTTCTGCTCTTTGTCATTGAAGACTAAAGCCTAATAATTAGAATGAAAAGTAAACTGAACAACACATTACCACTACCACTACTACTAATTATAATAATAGTTAATTTTGAGTATTTACTATATGCCAGATACTGTTCTAAGAATTTTTTTATTCACCTGAATCCTTGAAAAAAACTTATGAGATTGATACCATTTATTACAGAATTCCAACCTACAAGTTTTGTGACAAGAAAGTCACAACCTGGGAAGTCAAACCACAGCCTCTGGAGCAATCAGCTCAAAAGGTCAGGACTTGGTCAGGGACTGCCAGCTTCTCTCTCTCTCTCTCTTTTTTCCAACTCAGGACCCACCTAAGAAATCCCTAAACCAATCATGTAAGAAGCTGTCCCTCTAGATCACCTGCCTCCAGCTCCCCTATGCCAATAGGCTGCAAGCAGAGCATAGCTAAAGCCTTTCTTTTTTCACTATTGCTAAAGAGTAATTGCATGGGACAGAGTTAAATAAGCAAGGAAAACTTTATTCAAGACTATTGCATTAGCGGCCAGGCATGGTGGTTCACACCTGGTATCCTAGCACTTTGGGAGGCCAAGGCAAGTGGATCATTTGAGGCCAGCAGTTTGAGACCAGCCTGGCCAACATGGCGAAACCCCATCTCTACTAAAAATTTTTTTTAAAAGAAAAAAAAAAAATAGCTGGGTGTAGTGGCATGTACTTGTAGTCTCAGCTACTCAGGAGGCTGAGGCAGGAAAATCGCTTGAACCCAGGAGGCGGAGGTTGCAGTGAGTCAAGATTGCGCCACTGCCCTCCAGCCTGGACAACACAGCGAGATTCTGTCTCAAAAAACAAACAAAAAACCAAAAACTATTGCATTAGGGAGAGAGATTGAACTCAATTCCTTTGAAACAAAAGGTGGGAACGTTTTAAGCATTAAGGTGAGCTAGTGAAAAACTACAAGACAATGTTAAAAGGGACACTGGTCAATATGATTATGCCATCTATGTTTGCTGATTGGCACTTTGAGAAGCTGAGCTTCCACCCTCCCACAGTGACTGATAGTTAGAGACCTCTGGGCTTTTTGTTTGTTTGTTTGTCTGTTTGTTTGTTTTTGGTGATTACATTTCAAAGGAATGGCTCCTAGGTCCTTAAGAAAGACATTCCTGGATCTTTCTTAGACTTACATTTCAAAGAGGCAGAGAAAGAATTTACAATTGAAAGTCGTCTAAAGTAAATGCTCTAAGAAAGGGAAAGTCAGGGACCTAAGTCAAGAAGAAGCTTATCTAAAATTTAGTCAAGCTGAGGAATTGGTAAGATCATCTTGGCTACTACAAAGCTTTCCTATTGCCCTACCTGCCTTCGCTTCCCTGCCAAGCACAAATGATGCTGGCTGACTCTTTTATTATACCAAGCTCTGCAAACACAGCCTCTGTTTGTTCTATTCTTGGGAGGGCTGCAGTCTCCTCAAAGACTCTTGTTCTGTTTTTTGTTTGTCTGTTTGTTTTTGAGACGGAGTTTTGCTCTTGTTGCCTAGGCTAGAGTGCAATGGCACGATCTTGGCTCACCGCAACCTCCATCTCCCGAGTTCAAGTGATTCTCCTGCCTCAGCCTCCCGAGTAGCTGGGACTACGGGCATGCGCCACCACCCCAGCTGATTCAGTATTTTTAGTAGAGACGGGGTTTCTCCATGTTGGTCAGGCTGGTCTTGAACTCCCGACCTCAGGTGATCCACCAGCCTCGGCCTCCCAAAGTGCTGGGATTACAGGCATGAGCCACCGCGCTCCGCCTCTTGTTTTGTTTTAAGGTTAGAAATGTAAGTTTGAATTTGGTTAATTCCTTGCTTTGAAGATAACCAAGTCTTAATGTTTTATTTGTGACTACTGGCTGCATAATGCCTGAAAACCAATCATAACTCCTTACTCTCTCCAAAGTAATCTGGACTTTATCTTCATCTAGAGAAATATATTCACAGATTTGCCCTCCCTAATTACAGAGCAAAGTACTGACTGCAGTTACGGAGCAAAGTACTGACTGCAGTTATAGAGATGTCACGGTGTTCAAGAGTCACAGCCCTTTGTTTACTTATCTGAATCAGTTGATTCAAATTCTGGCTCCACCTTTTCCCCACTCCTCTCAATTCATCACAAGTGGCTGACAAGTTCTGACTCAGCCTGCAGAGTTGCAGTTGTGCAATATGTTAATGACTTCCTGCTTTTTCACCCTTACAGGAGTTTTTGATAACGTATTATTTCATATTCCTAGAGAACGAAATAGCCACATTTCTGAAATAGTTTGAAATCCAATGGTGAGTCAATGGTTCATTAGGGCAAACTTTCAAATAATAAGGCTCTTTTAAAAAGACACTATAAAACTTCATAGAGATCTCTTTGCCAATTTACCAATTCATATCCTCTATCTTTCACCCTTCTGTAATCTTTAAGTGTTTTCAAAATTCTACAAATTATTATCTTCATGGCATTGTTAACAATTAATTGGGAACACAGAATAAAAAGAAAAACCTTTTAGTTTTGGTAAGTGACAAAATAGAATACAGAACTAAATATGAGAATATGTCAATGCTTCTCAAACTTTAATGTGAATCATCCAATGATCTTGATAAAATGCGAATTCTGATTCAGTAGATCTAGAATGGGGCCTCAGATTCCACGTTTCTAAAAACCTTCTTGGAGATGCCCATGCTGCCGTTTCACAGAACACATCATGAGTAGCATCAGTATATGTTCGTTTATATAAAGACAATATTCAGGAATATACAGAGGTTACATTAATACTACTTTACATAGTTTAGAAAAATGTATGTATATATGTAGGTATATACACATGAAGATATAATAAAATAAAACCATACTTGGCCAGGCATGGTGGCTGATGCCTGTAAGCCCAGCGTGTTGGGAGGTCAAGGCAGGAGGATTGCTTGAGTCCAGGATTTTAAGACTAGCCTGGGCAACATAGCAAGGTGCTGTCTTTATAAAACAAAAACAAAACAAAACAAAAAAACTCATATTTGAAACTTGCCAAATATTAAAAGAGATTTGGGGTCATCTGTAAGTTTTTGTTTCCTTTATTAAAATTTTCTTTGTCTTCATAACATTTCCCCAATTTTTATGCAGTGTGTATAACTTTTTCTTTTAATAAAAAGGTTTTTTTTCTTTTTCAAAGCAAAGAGCCACATCAAGTTTTATCGCCAAGCACTGGAAACGTCCAACAAAAATAAGCAGCAAGTCAAATGTAATGATTCCCAAAAGGAGATCGCGGTTGTAAACAAATATTTTTAAGAGAGGATGACACTTGCCTGATCCTGGTGGTTATGCGATTCTGACATTTGTCTTATGGTCACTGGAGTGGCTTCTGGAAGTCTTTGATGCGGTTCATCCACCTAACACAATTTTAGATAATCGTATTTTTCAGTGGAGTAGAGGTAAGATCAAAGAGCCAAGACCCAGCCATTCTCAGAGATTTCTTAGTATTGAGGATGCTCAAGTTTCACTTTGGATGCACTCCCAGGACACTTCTAAATGGGATAAGATTTCTCAGGCTCTTCAAATAACAGGGTTCTGCTTGGATCAGGAACATCTGTGAAGCAAATTCAACAGTATTTCGACTTTACTACTTTTTGTTTCCAATGAGAAAGAACTCTATATTAAATGAAATCTATAAACATGTTGCATGCGGTTAATCGGGAAGTTCAGTAAGCACTTTAAAAATAAATTTTCAGCCGGGCGCGGTGGCTCAAGCCTGTAATCCCAGCACTTTGGGAGGCTGAGATGGGCGGATCACGAGGTCAGGAGATCGAGACCATCCTGGCTAATACGGTGAAACCCCGTCTCTACTAAAAATACAAAAAACTAGCCGGGCGAGGTGGCGGGCGCCTGTAGTCCCAGCTACTCGGGAGGCTGAGGCAGGAGAATGGCGTGAACCCGGGAGGCGGAGCTTGCAGTGAGCTGAGATCCGGCCACTGCACTCCAGCCTGGGCGACAGAGCGAGACTCCGTCTCAAAAAAAATAAATAAATAAATAAATAAAAATAAATTTTCATTGCTTGAAACACAGTGAGGAAAGGAAAAAAAAAATAATTAACTCAAACATATTTGGTTTAAAGGAGTTAAGCTAACCTGGCTAAACACATTTTTGGCTGAAAGACAAAATGCAAACAAATTGTGTCTATTTTGCTTTTCTAGACAACAGGGCATCAGATTTAAAGCCCCAGAGGGAAAACAAACTAACCTGACAGGTTAAAGAAAGTATTCAAAGCTCCCATCTGCCCAGAACTAGGCAGTACTAAAATCTCTTCAATGACTGTTAAGCATAGTGTACCTTAGTCCTTTGAGCCTTACCATGAGTCCCTACACAAGACATGGAGGTCATTTCTAAGGAGTTTAAGAAATATACTTACTGATCCATTACAGGTTGGGAAAAGCTAGAAATAAGTCCTTGCTTTCAGGAGTACAGGAACAGTCTTATTAAAAACCACTGGTTTGACTTTAATTAGATTTCTTGTGTTATACAATTTCTGCTCTTTGTTACTAAACAAAAGACTAAAGCCTAGTTAGGATGAAAAGTGAACTAAATAATAACCATGCTAATAATAAAAAATGTAACTAATTTTGAGCATTTATTGTATGACAGGCAAGGTTCTAAGTATTTTCGTTTAACTTAACCCTTAAAAAAAAAACCCCTCTATGAAGTGGCTACTATTTATTGTCCCCACTTAACAAATCAGGATACAGAGGCACACAGAGATAAGGCAGCTTGCCCGAGGGCATACAGTTAATAAAGAGGTAGAGCCAGTTTTGAACCCAAGCAGCTGACCTCCAGAGCTTGCCTCCAGAGAAGGCAGCTGAGTGATGCTACTTGCCATTTTTGGTTATTGTGAGAGACTTTTTTTGTTCTCCATATTCAATGATCAGTCACCTGGGCATGTGATGATTCAACCAAATTAATAAGCTCAGGTCTGAAACTTATGTGCCAAACAGGTTAATCTACCATTGGAGTCAGGCAGGGTTGTTAAGGAAAAGAGATTCATCTTAAGGGGTGAATCTTTTCTACCTCTCAAGCAGTTTTGAACACAGATGAGCTCAGATGCTGAATTCCTCTCCCAAGTGAGGGTCTCACAGGCCTAAGAACTGCTAGTGATGATTCTCCAGCTGAGAGGCCTTGCAGGATTCAGGAACATTAAAGTGATTCTCTAGTACTTCTCACAAACATGAGTTAGAAAACCTAAGATATCGGCTGGGCGCGGTGGTTCACACCTGTAATCCTAGCACTTTGGGAGGCCAAGGCAGGGGGGTCACCTGAGGTCAGGAGTTCAAGACCGGCCTGGCCAAGATGGAGAAACCCCATCTCTAATAAAAATACAAAATTAGCCGGGCGTGTTGGTGCATGGCTGTAATCCCAGCTACTCGGGAGGCTGAGGTAGGAGAATCTCTTGAACCCGGGAGGTAGAGGTTGCGGTGAGCCGAGATCCTGCCATTGCACTCCAGTCTGGGCAACAAGAGTGGAACTCTGTCTCAAAAAAAAAAGAAAAACAGAAAACCTAGGATATCCTCAGTCATCTTTTGACCCCTAAGTGAGGGTCAAATAAATCCTCTAAAGGCCACCCCAAACCTTTAGGAGGGAGATGATCACATTCTTCATCCACTTGGTAAGCATATGCAATTACTATCTGTGTGACTTAGATATGCTACAAGACCTCTAGGCCTAGATTGGCTCATGAGTGAAACAGGAGCGTCTTATCTATCTGGCCTGCCAGAAGGCAAGAGGTGGATCAGATGATCTTTTGAGAACATTTCAAGCTCTAAACTAAAAATGAAGGCAAAAGGGAAGACTGGGGAAGGAGGCACCTTGCAACCATTTGCTCATCAAAAGCCAGAGTCCTACCTGCTTTGTTAATTCTTGCAGTAAATACTCCTTCAGGTGGTAAAGTGAAGTAGTTCACCTGGAGAGGGCTGCTTTGCTCCTCACAGAGCTTCAACCAGGCCAACTACTAAAGAGTTAATTCAGATGGTATTTAATAATAAAGAAGAATAAACAAAATAAGAAAAATTAGTTGTTTCAGCAATACCAGAAGAGATTTTTTTAACTACACCAGGAGATCAGTATTTTCAATCCATTCTTGACTACAGGTCTCACTAATGAAGAACTGAGGAAAAGAATAAGATATGCATTCATTTTATGGCAAACTACATATTGTTATTTACCTTTAAATCAGAACATTTGCATGCAGTATTTTTAATATTAAAATTAAAAATGTATGATAAATGCATGTTTACAGGACTAAATGAGCTATTGTTTGCGGTAAAGCCTTGTAAATGGAATTTCATGTTGAAATCTTAGTCTTCTGTCCCCAACTCCTTCTTTCCCTAGCTCCTCTCTTTTTCTTTCTAACACTGAAATGTGGGGAAGAAAAATGAAAAGTGCACATCAGAAGAGAGTCACTTGCTGCTTTGGTTTTATTTTCCCATTTCTTCTTACTTTCTGTTTTTGGCTTTTAAAACAAGCTTCTCTCCTTCACCCACTCCCACCCTCTTTGCAGAGAGCAGACTTCAAACTTCACTTCTGTTTCTAGGTCCTAAAGAGAAACAAGAGTGCGGGGTGGCGTGGGGGGAACAGAAAAGAGATCAATTGAGTTATTCCAAAATGCAAATTAACAACAGGTTTTCTCATCTCAAAACTCCCACATTCTGTCAATCTGAAAATATTTTTTCTCCCCCTCTTCTGAATGACTTAGGTCCCCACACCGCCAAGGAATTCAAGCCACAAAGGAGGTATTATGCTGCTTACAGTTATTAATCTGCCTGCCTGAAGCTCTGCGCCAGCCTCTCAAAAGGTTCCTTCTGTAGGTTAATTGCTGGTTGGAGTTCCCAGAATAGCATTTTCTTTTAAGGATGATCGCTCATCCACCATCCCGGAACATTTCTCGGGTTACTCTTTAGAGTTTAATCTCCTCGAGCAAGGTCCCTGGAGACGGTGAAACCCTCGTCTCCGTGGCGTGAACGCGGGGTGCCCCTGTTCGTTCCTGGAGATTCCGGGGTTCAGCAGCGGCCCGGTGTCCCCCAGGCTGTCCCTCTCTACTGCTGCGAAAAGTGAGCGCGGTCACGGAGTGCTCCTCAGTCCTGGTGGTCATGCGACCCTTGGCCCACGAGGTCTGCAACACTTCTTGTGTTAGCTGATAATCCTCCACCCGCACAAGCACGTATTTGGGTGGGTCTGCTGGGTCCCGCGGCGGGGCTACACGCCTGCCAGAAATTCGCTTTTCTCGTTGAGAGACAGAAGGATAGTTGGGCTCCTCGCCGTGGTCCTCTCCACCCGCCGCGTGAGGAAGGTCCTTTGCACCGGCCACCTTTTCCCGTTCAGGGTCCCCTTGAGTCCCTAACCACCTCTCTGGGTGCAGGAGAAAGAGTACTTTCTCTCTGACCCAGGACTCACGGTCCAATTCCTCTCCGGCCCAAGGTCCGAGGGCCCGACCTGCCGATCTGTCCTCGTGGCCGCCGCCCTGGCTTCGGCTCGCCCCCGCCGTCGCGGGATTCCGGGCGCCCGGAGCCAGCGGGGCCCCGCGCCCCACCTCGCGCGGAAAAGACCCGAGGTCCCCCAGGCTGCGGGAGGAGTCCATGGGATTTGCAGCTCCCTGAGGCCCTCGGGTCTCCATCCTGGCAAAAGGGTCATTCATTCGTTCCTTCTTTGGCCAGTTCAAGCAGCAAGCGCCTGCTGAGCTCCGGAAAGCGCGGGACCAGCCAGCCCTGGGTGTGGCCTCTGCCGCTGCCCCGGACTCCCAGCCCGCGAGAGCTGAAGACTGGATCAGCCCCAGGCCAACCGCGTGCGGAACCCGCCTCCTCGCCCTCCGCCTCTCCCACCTGGCAGCTGTCTAACCATTCAGAGGAAGCTTGACACAAGCTCCAGTCACTCCTCTTCTTCCTCCTACTCCTGTGCGGAGCCCTGCTCCCTTTGTCATTCGCTGATTCAGTCCCCTTTTACTTTTCACCTCTATCCTAGTTTCCCACCCACCTTTCGTTTTTCTCTGGAGCTGAGGCACAAAGGACACCCTTTCACTGCGCCCCCCTTGAAATGCCCCAAAGTGTGTTTACTTTCCAAGGACGCTCCTTGAGGTGAAGGAATAAAGAAATTTGTTTGCATTTTAATTATCTGATCTAATTCTGAAAAGGGTCTGTGTCCATTCCGAATCCACTCCCACCATGCTACCAAAATAATGGAATGTAGATCAAAGGGTCAGACTGAAAAGTTGAAGCCTTGGATAAACTGGTTTTGGTTTCTTTGTCCTTCTTCCTTTAGAATGCCAGAATCTGTATCTCTGGAGGACAGTGTGTCACAGAGTGTCCTCGTTGTCCTCCTCCTCCTCCCCCTCCTCCTTTTCTCTCTCTCCCTCTCTGTCTCCCCGCTCCCCCTGCCTCTTCCCCCCCTCCCCGGCCCCATGAGTCTCGCTCTGTAGCTCAGAATACAGTGCAGTGGCTCGCCTCCACTTTCCAGGCTCCC